CTGGCTGGGGAATTCTGGGGGTTGAAGTCCACACCTCTTCAAGTGGCCGAGGTTGAGAAATACTGGTCTAGAGACAGCACCTTGAGTTTACTCAGTTGAAGACCCGGCTGCTGCACGCATCCAGCCTGTTCACCTCAGTTCGTTTTTAACCTTGATTCGTTTTGTTCTGAATGCAGCCTGGGTGGGCGGACCAGAGTTCAGTGCACCGTGTGAACCCAGAACATGGGTTAATCGAATAACCAAATTCAGCATGTTGTAGCTATGCAACTGTCACTAGAACAGAACTATTATTGGACAGTTAAACAAAATTAAAAGGACAGTAACAATAATGTCCATTTGAAAGGATAAATATTGGATCCTGCCCCGGCATCTATCTCCAGGAAGAAAAATGTCCTTCTATCAATGCCAGAGGATCCCCCTCTGTGATTTCCAGGGTCTGAGGCCAATGGACCAGCTTATTTCTCCTGGACCTGCGTCAAAATAGATCAATGAGATCTGTCTTCGGTCAGCGTAGCCAGTGACCGAAAGCATGGCCTGCAACTTATGACACGTATGACCTTCTGCAGTCTGGAAGCTTTTTTTAATGTTCCTTTTCTGAATTCCATGTCTGGAATTTCACTCCACCCTGCAAGATACTCGGTTCTGCTTAGGGAATCCCCATTCCCAAAGTGGCATCTCTACCCCCTATAAGGGACAGCTGCCAAAAGACCAGCTCTCCTCTCCCTGAACGGAATTCACATATTCAATATATAAGAACCACCATCAAGTTTAAGGGTTGATTCCTGAGCCTTTTTTTCCCTCTTCCCTCCCCCTCCCTCTCTCCTTTCATGCTATGCCATTTAGAGGGTAAGCCCATGGCTAAAAGCTTCTTTACATTTCATTAACTGATTAACTTGGCTAAAGAGCGGGAGAAAGAAGTAAGTCACCCTCATCACCTGCATCGAGGTCCCAAACTCACCTGGATGGACGGGAAACTCATGCCAATGATGAAATTGCAAGTCCAGTTGGCAAAGCCGGCCATGGCCATCGCAGCTGGACGGGGCCCCTGGCTGAACAGTTCTGCCACAATGAACCACGGAATGGGGCCCGGCCCGATCTCGAAGAAGGCCACAAAGCCGAAAATGGCCACCATGCTGAGGTAGCCCATCGACGGCACACTTTTCTGTCAAGGGGAGGAAACGGGAGCTTCTGAGCGGATTTTCTGGCCGCCAAAGGCCAGACCCTTCCCTGCAGGGTGCATTTCTTCGCTTATCGTAGTGGAACCCCAGACTGGAACAGCTCAGATGACTTGGAAGGGATAATGGCTTATTCAGAGGCTGTCAAACCAGTTCCTCGCTAGCCCACCGAGCTAGAAGTACACTCTTATTTATGTATTTATTGACTGGTTAGATTTATATCCTGCCTTTAGCTTCAGGGGGTGCGCCTCATGCACCCTCCTCCCATTTTTTCCTGGAACAACAACCCTGCGAGGGAGGCTGGACAGAGAGAAGGCGACTGGCCCAAAGTCACCCAGGGAGCTCTGGCGGCCAAAGATGGATTCTCTCTGCTCCTAGTCCGACACCCTCGCCCCAATGGCTGCCGTCTTCACCACATATCTATATATTTGGGTGCAAACGTGAAACGTTTAGGCTCTCACGGCGAGAGGGGCCCTTTGGTGAACCACTGGGGAAGAGCGGATAGGCAGTTGTGGCCTTCTCTCTCTCTCAAAAGAAAACTGGATTGCCAGTTCAGAGTAAGGGAGGGTGGAACTCCCTGCCACAAGATGTGGCTGACAGGCATGGAAGCCATTTTCAGGTGAAACCCACCCTCTGAACCGGAGCCATCGGGAGGGGCACTCTTGGCCCAGCTACTCACCAGGAAGAGGAGCGAGAACATCATTAAGAGGGCGCAGACGCCCATCCCCAATAAGCCTACGAGGTGCAACGTCCGCCTTCCTGCCCGCTCGACCAGGAACACCTGGAGGAGGGCGGAAAAGTTAGAAAGCAAAAGAGGCTGAGAATAGTCAACAGGGGAAGGAGGCCGATGGTCATGGGAATCCTAACAGCGGTTTAATTTCTATAGCAACTTTCAGCACTTGACAATCGCGAAAGCTTGCAAACGACGGAAGGGAAGGATGGAGGGATCCAGACTCTCGTGTAGGGCCGATGTCTCCAACCTGTTGTCCTTCCTTCATCCCCAGCCCAAGGGCCTCGCCACCCTGCAACATTTCTGGAGGATCCTTGCAAGAGCCCTTCTCCTGCTGCGCCCACAAAGACTCCCAAGGGGGCATATTTGGACTCCCATTTTAAGCAGCCAGGCTCAGTTTAAACCACGATTCAAAATGCACATCCGGCGGGGCACGCTTGTCTCTGAGCTCAAAGATCATATCAGAATGAGGTGCTCAAATAAAAGGTCTACTTAAATGCACGTCTGAGTGAAAATTTAACAGTTCCTGCGTATGCATTTCATTTCAAAACGTAATGTTGGAACCCAGAATAGACTTAGAAAGGGAAGAGGAAGGACCGAGTGAGCTAAGAACGAGCGGGTCCGTGGCTGCAATGATTTCACAAGCCCTGGCTGAACTTTATGTCCTGTTCCGTTCAACAGCCCCTTTAGAAGAGGAGAAGGCCTAAGGCCAGGAGAACAACTTGGAAAAGGACACTTTACTGGATATGCTAAAGAAACTGGCTGATGTTTTAAAAATCAAAAGGGAAACACAAATGACAAACCAAGAGAGTGACCTGGATGATTTTTTTCTGATTGGGTTTACAAAAGGCTTGAAGAAGTTTGTGCGATGGGACAAAGAAGAATTGGAGAGAAATCAAATCCTACAACAATATTTGGATGAACTAAAGATTAAGACTGTTAGAAGTAGAAAGAAGGAATGTAAAGTTGGTTTATTTGATCAAGGTTAAAATAAGATATGTTGTTACAAAGCTGGCAACCCTTCATGAACTTTTTGCTGATGTCTGGACTGAAAAGTGGATGCCTTATGGATTTGTCTATAGATAAGAGAAGGGATGTGGGATGAAGAGTTATTTATTTGTAACCTTAGAGGGGGTGAAGAGTCTCTAAATTTGTTTATACTTGTTGTGATGAAGGTTGGAAGTCACTTCTCTATATATTTCTTTTCTCTTTCTTTATGATTTTCTCACTTTTCTTTCTTTCTTTCTTTCTTTCTTTCTTTCTTTCTTTCTTTCTTTCTTTCTTT